TATCACTAGGACAGCCCCGAGCAGCCAGAGTAGCAGGCAAGAACCCAGCCAGAGCACCCTCAAAAACAACAGACTCATTTAAAACAAAAACTTTATCAATAGGCTAAGGAAAACTAACACCAGATGCCCCAAGCACATCAACATTATTACCTAGATAAGGGACATCAGCGGGGACAGACACATAGCCAGGAGAAATAAAATCAGAGCCAAGAGAAACATTGGCTAAACCATTCACAACAACTCCCTTAGAGACAATAGGCAAAGCCCCAACCAGAGCATCAACATTAGATTTAAGGCAAGCAGGAGAAACACAAATATCATGCGCATTGACAGGGGCATTAGGAGAAAGCCCAGGAAAAGAAACTGGCAGAGGTTGAGTCGGAGCCAAAGCCACAGGTATAAGGCCAACACCCTGAACCAAAACCACATCCCCCAAAGCTGCATCCTAAATAGCAGCCACACCAACAACACCCTTAGCCACATCATTCGTAGAAGAAAAAGACTGTTTCGAAGGGACAACCGGACTAGGAACAAAAGAAGCAGAATGACACTCACCCAGCTTGTACCCAATGGCCTTACACAGCTCACAGAAAGGAGGAAATACCTCCATTTGAACATGTTGACCATAACCCAATTGGTCAAACCCCAACCAAACTTTATCAGGGTAGGATTTAGTAATGTCCAATTCCACCAAAACATGAGCCAAAGAAGGCCGCGAACCCACAGAAGTGGCAGAATCAATTTTAAGGGGGCGACCAAACAAAGAGCCCACACATGAAGAATTTTGGGAGCAAAAAGGTGCGGCCAAAGGTTAGGGAAGGAGACCCAGATGGGAATAATAGGAGATTCCACATCGATATCAAGGGAAGGCAACCATTTTGTAATTTTCATGTAGCAATTGAAAACCAGATATGAACGATGGCAAAAAACTCTACTATAATCCATATCATTCGACAGTTTAATCAACAAATGCGTAGCATCCAGTAAGGTTACCGAAAATTCAGCCGAGAGTTTCAGGTTAAAGAAAAAAATGATAGATATAATCCAAACTAGGGAGGCGAGATGGAAAAAAACCCACCAGAGAAAACTAAAAAGGGTAGGCTAAGGAAGCGATCTCCTCCTCAGAGATCCAAACAGCAGGTAAACCATGAAATGAGCAAGTTTTTAGAGGTGGAAAACCAACATCAGTAGCATTACCAGCCAAAACATCAAAAAAAGAACGAGATTTCTTGGAATCAACCAAAAACCCGGATCCAAAAAACGATTAGAGGCCTTACCGACCATCCAACAAAAAAAGAGAAGAACAAGCTAACAAAAAAAAGGGGGGGAAAAGAGAGAAACTTCCCTGCTACCAGAAAAACAACCACAGCAAAAAGAAACCCTAGAGGAAGGGCGGGAGGCCCCCCCTGGAGCAGCACAGCGGAGGAGAGAACAGAACCCTAAGCGACTCTCACAGAACCCTAAGCCAGAGCATAACTCTAATATATATATATATATATATAATCTTCTAAAGTGAGGCCTAAGCGGCCTTTATCACATAGATTATGTTATCCTTGATTGAGAAATTTATTCCCAACCATCGAAAAGTATTTGTAGTGGAATTATTGTAATAAAAAGAGAATATTTAATATCATATCTTTATCCTAATATTCAACATGTATAGATAAAAATTATAAAAGACACTAGAACATTTTATATGAAATACATAAAAAAGGAAAAGCTTATTGTGCTCGGCACATTCACACTTATCTAACATACAATCAAAATATAAGAGTTCGCACTTCTCCATAATTAAAGAAGATTGAATTACACAATTAAGAATAATTATTTGATTCTCATTATAGCGATTATAAACGAAGCTATGAAGGGTGGAGGTGATTATACAATGTCAGTCAATTAATGACAATATAATAGAGGTCAAGTGTTCACAATCGGACAATCGAAGTTAAATGATGGGGTTGAATATCACTAGTCAGGCTATGATGGTCACAACTAATGATGGTGAAGTACCTTAATTAAAAATCTCAGAATTGAATGATCTTAGGCTCATTGAATTTCTCTCATTGATCTATCTAATTTCTTAATCATGCAATATTCTAATACTAATTTGTCATGTAATTCATATCTCGAAGCTTCCAAATAAGCTTCAATTGTTCGAATTGGGTTCACATCAAATCACTTTTAGTATCAATAGGTTCATCTTATCAAGACTCAGTTTGATTATAAGCCTATTGAAATCAAAGTTTAAATAGTCCTAAATTTAATTTAAAAATTACTTCAAGATTTGTGTTGATAAACTAAATTTTTTAGATATCTATTATTAGTAAATTTGTAATAGATTAATATCAATTCAATCTAAAAAACACAATTCTCAGAATTACAACCGATAATTTTAAAAAATAATTAATATTTTTTAATAAAAAAAAATAGTTAAATCATTATTTTCTAATTTTCTTACGTAATTTTTTCACCCATTTTTATATGGGATGCATCTATGTGGATAGAGCTATAAAAATGCTCATGATCATTTTTGCAAGCAGCTCATGTTTAGGCCAGTAAGAAGCACATGTTTGACTCATTTAAGTGATCTAGTTGATATCAAATAATCATTTTGAGCTTAGTTTCTTAATAAGCCTAATTAGGACTATAAATTAACCAATACACTTAACAGGTTACTCTTGTCTCAGCTTAGTTAGAGCTTATTAGTGTTTGTTTAGTTAACTAATTGAAAAGCTCAATTCATGCATGATATTAAACTCATTTACTTTAATTAATATAATTTTATTTTAGTTGAATAATATTTAATATTAACTAATTTTTTATTTAATTGATATTATATAATCTATATTAATTAAATTTAGTGCTTTAAAAATTACTTAAATTAAAAAAAAAAGTGCTCAAAGTCTCATATTAACTGGAGCCTTTTTTACTTTATAACTTAATAAATACCAAATCATTTGAAACTCTCATCTTTCTTCCCAAATAGTTGCCTCCTAAAATCTTTAAATCCTCAAGAACAAAGAAGTGTCCTAAGGTGTAGTTCGTGAGACTTGTAAGTGATGGTTGTTGAGAAAATTTTATATGTGGCCCCATATATTTATATATATAAATAAAGTTTTATACGTTAGACGTTATCTAAAATTGAGCCAATTAAATTCATAATCTATTTAAGAATTAAGTTATTATTTTGCTTATATGACATCTCAATTAAATTTATATGCAATTAATTTTTGTAGATGCCAAATATTTATTTTATTTTAATGATGGACATAAATAAAATATGTATACTTAAAGTATAAAATGGTCGTGGTTCCCAATTTAATCGGAGTAGTCATTTTCTCTCATTTATCATCTTGAGTGAAATGAAGGGGTCTCTCGCTCTCTTGGAGAACGGCGCTTCAAATGTGGAAGATCGAAGATCTCGATTCTGCATTAATTTCAATGGATTCATGTACGCTTCCGATAATTTTTCTCGATGATTTGACATATCTTTCAGAGGCGATGAATTTATTTTTTGTCTCCATGGAATCCTTTTAATGGGAGCTTACTTAAAGGTGTGAGAGCATGATGTGATCATGTCAGAGAAGGCATTCTCTAGATTGCATATTGTATTTTTGCATCAGATATTGAGAATGCATTTGATCTTGTTAAGAATGGGAAAATGATTCAAATTGCATGCTTTTGATCTTGTTGAGAATAAACATCAAATATTTTATTCCACTAGATTGTTTTCGTTCATAAACACAAGTTACATGTCATAATTTGTTAATTAATTTATGTTTTAGATGTTTATTTAAAAGCTCGTTCTGTAAAAGACATTTGGTTAGCTAATAATATGTGATCGTTAATAGGTTTGATAAGACTTATTTTACTAGCTATCAAATGACTCGGAAATATGACTCATTGTAACTCATTTATTTTTTCAAAAGAGCTCTTAATTTAACGCTTAATAATCAAGATATGAATCAAATTCAAGTTGAACTCAAATCAAATTCGAGGAACAATAATTTTAATTAAACCAAATTTGAAAATCATCACATGAGGTAGTTTTGAGCTTAAGTCTGATTTTAATAAACAAGCTTGTGTTTGAACAAGCTCTACTCGACTTAGTTCAGTTTAATTCTTTATAACTACAAGTCATATTCAAATATAGTCTTAGTTTTTATTTAAGATTATTTTATTACTATCTTCTAAGATTTTTTTAGTACAAAAATTTGTTAAAAACAGTTAAAAAATAACAACAAAAAATTATTCCAAACAAAATCTTAATAGGCTATATTTAGCTTATTATTGGTAATATATATAATTATTTTTAGAATATTTAAATCAATTAAGGTAAATTAACACATTATATACATTAGTTGCATACATATAAAACAATTATAAATAAATAAAAATTCAAATAAGCTGTTTGTGAACACTCGGATGGTTTTAGATAGGGGTGTCAATATTTGATCTGACCTGAAAACCCGACTTGAACCGACCCAAAAATTTCGGATTTGAGTTAGGGATTTCGGTAAAATAGTGTCGGGTTTAGATTGACCCGAAAACCCGAAATCAACCAGATTTGGCCTGTTTTTAATTAATTTATGAGGATTTTAAAAGATTGTTATGAAACAAGTAAATGATATTTCTAAAAAATTTATAAATATTATTACCAAAATTAAATTAAGCTTGATTTTTTTAAATTGATTGAAGTAAATCTTACGTTAATTTGATATACGTTTAAGTAAATCGAATTAAATAAAAAAATAGTAAAAAATATCCAAAGCGAGTCGGGTTTAAGTTGACTTAGACCCGAAGCAGGTCGGGTTCTGATTCTACCATTTGTAAAAATGGGTTGGATTCGAGACGAACTCGACTTATGACTTGATTTTGACATCCCTAAATTTGAAGAAAAGGTTTGGTTTCTCGTGGGTCCAACATACCCATGAGATGTGGTCGATATGCTTTTCCAGATTTAGTTGAGCATTTTCGATGAGATCATGTAAGAGCTAACGTAGGAAGCCTTCCTCTCTCTCTCTCCTCTCTCTCTCTCTCTCTCTCTCTCAAGAATGGCTACGGCACCAACTATCCAAGGCATGTGCTCATCATTTCTTACCTGCTGTCTTCAAAATAAGTTCTCCCTCTCTCAATCCCTCAAGCTCGGACAAAGCCGCCGCCCAGCTTCCTATCCCCGCATTAGGGCCCTAGAGCTCGACCAGAACACGGTACTTTCTTCAGACTTTTTCTTTTTAATGGGATTGATATGCGGCTAATTAGTGAATCTTTTTGCGCTTTCAGGTCGTCGCCATCTCTGTCGGCGTTGTCAGCGTTGCCTTCGGCATAGGAATCCCACTTTTCTATGAGACCCAGATCGACAATGCGGTAATCTTTTTGTTGTTTTGACTGTTTTTACGGTTTTCACAGGAGGGGAAAGTTTGATTTTCTTTTGTATTTTAATTAATTTGCCTTTGTAGGCTAAGCGAGAGAATACACAGCCTTGCTTTCCCTGTAATGGATCCGGAGCTCGTAAGCTTTTATTTCCCTGGAGCTACTGATTTAGTCTATTTGTTATCAAGTTTTTGCTTAAATATGACGAAATTTTCTGCTTTTGAATTGAAATTATTGAAACTACATGGTATATCCAAAGGAAAGTGAACAAATATATGAAGACAGTGTAGCCTGAAAAAACTGACAGACTCGAAGGTGCTATAGCAGAATTTGATTCCTCTTACCAACTATGACAGAATTAAATTAGGGATCTCAGATGTAATAATAACCATTTTACTCCAGCTCTCAATGTTATGTGAAGTGTGACATTGGTCTCAAGGAAGGTTTGATGTTGATATTTTGATTAAGCAAATAATATCCTATGTCTGGGATACTTTTTAGCGAGAGCATATCTGACATCATATCAACCATTTAGTTGATTGCAATTGTAAATTTTTGTATAATCTATTGTCATTTGTTGTTTATTTGATTTTTTTTGCTCTTCGGGGCTATGTGGTTTATGTTATGTGGACAATAATGCTATCCAGATAACAATATTAATGCAAGAGTTTGATTGCACGACATCTTAATTAACGTGGTGTTATTTAGAGTGATTAACTTTGATTCTTATTTTTTTGAAATGTTCTTTAGAAATTAGAAAGCGTGAAATTTAGATTTTAACCTATGTGGACGACATGTAGATGTACATCAAAATGCCACTAATTATTTTCTAAAAATTCCCTATTTAAAGGTGTCACCAAACCATGCCAAAAGAATGCGGGAGGGATGATAGATAAAGAGTTATGGGTGATATTTAGTATTTTGGTTAAAAAACATCTAAAATGATATCAAATGATTGAGGACAAAATATTTTGGTCTTGATATTCAAGAACAAAAGGTGATACTTAGGATTGTGATAATTATAGGGAAATCAAACTAATTATTGAATCATACAATTTAGTTGTGGAAAAGAGTAATGAAACATAATCTTAGAAATTTTATGTCGGTATAAGAGAATTAATGTAGTTTTAAACATAATAAAAATATTTTTGAGAGTAAGATATTAGATCTTAAGATTTTATATGTGCATGAAAAAACTAATATTATATAGAAAAAAATAGCTAGTGATATAAAAAATATTGTAAAAGATGTGCTTTAAGTATCAAAGAGAAACTCATAATAGTAAAAAAAAGTTGATGATGAAATTAAAATGTGCAAGAAAAGATAAAAAATAAGAAGATTTGTCATAAAAATTGATTTAAATATAAATATTATGATAATTGAGAAATATATAAAAAGACTTGTAAGGACTATAAGAAAGTAATATGTGATGCAAATATTTTAGCTTTTAATGATTTATATAATAGATTAGATACTAAACAGAGTGAAAGATAATGTATAAGTTAGCCAAACATAGAGATAAGAGTAGTAAGAATTTAGTTCAAGTTAAGTGTGTTGAGATAGTTGATATTTAGTTTTGCATGTTTGATATTCTTGCAACTTGTAAATTTTTGATGATTCCAAATATTATTGCTTTGATTATTATTTCTTCTAACATATTTTTGGAAGAATGTTTTTGCTCTTGTGTGCACTAACATTTCAGGGAAATCATACTCCAGATTGTTGAAGACTTCAAATCAAGATCAACTTAGTGTGTATTGTAAATTGAAGTCTATATTTTTCATTTTATTGAGTCTTAGAGAGTGTGATTGTAATTGAGTAACTGAGCACACACACCTGGGGAGAGTTTAAAATTCATATTTTTAAACTGATCTTACAGTACGAAACTAGTTTGTACGGGACGGTTTGGTCAGTTATTTTCTCTAACGAGCAATGGAGCGAATAGAAATGACCAAAATTTTTCTAAGTATAGATCGTATGAATGATATTTTTTCAATCGTACCGGGATGATGGCCTATAGTTCGTCCTTGAACGACGTTCGTACGAACAATATTTTCTGATCATACCGAGACGATGGCCTCTGGTTCGTCCTCGAACGAAGATCATATGAACAATATTTTCTGATCGTACCAGGACAATGACCTCTGGTTGGTCCTCAAATGAAGATCGTACGGATGATATTTTTCGATCGTACCAGGACGATGGGCTCTGGTTCGTCCTTGAATGAAGATCGTACGGACTATATTTTTGATCGTACTGAGACGAAGGGCTCAATTTTATTTTCGTTCATTTCGTCCTAACGGTTCGTACATACGAACTTTGAAATTTTTTCTGTTAATACCAGACAATCACAGTTCGTACCGGATGATGATCGGGTACGATATGATTTCTTACCGATTCACAATGGGTTTATACGCAATAGTTTTTGAACTGTTCGTGCGTACGAAAATACGATCATACGGTACGATCGTGGATGGTCAAATTTGAAAAATTCAGTTTTTTGGAGGTTTTTCATGTCTTTTGTATAAAAGGTCCATTAGAAACTGTCACTTAATCTTTTTGTCATTTAATCTTTGTGATTTGTAAAGGGCAATTGAAGGAGAGAGTGCGTGAGAGCGTTTGAGAGAGATTTCTTCCTAGTAGACCGTAAAGGGTTCACAAGGTTACTCAAAGGTAAGGATCTTTGTGTGTGATTTGTGTTTCTTCAGTATTTCTCTTGTCTTTCTAGATTGCTCGTGTGAAGATCTTTCAAGAAGATCTGATTCTCTACCGACACTTGGAGAGTGTGAACAACCGAAAGTTCTCTGCCTACACTTGGAGAGTGTGAACAGTCGAAGGTTCTCTGCCTATACATGGAGGGTGTGAAAGGACGAAGGTTCTTTGCCTACACTTGGAGAGTGTGAACAGTCGAATGTTCTCTTCTTACACTTGGAGGGTGTGAAAGAACGAAGGTTCTCTGCCTACACTTGGAGGGTGTGAAAGGATGATAGTTCTCTGCCGTACCGGGGATTGGTGAAAGAGAGTTTTGTAAAGGCTTCTTTGCTTTGTTGTGGGAGCAAAAAGAGAGTCACTTTGGTAATAGTATAATACCTGAAGTGGGAGGCTTCAGTGAGTGGATGTAGGTCATGTTTGACCGAACCACTATAAATCTTTGTGTTTTTTTATTTTCACTGCTTATTTACATACTGCAAGTTTATTTTTTCATGGTTGAAAAATTATTTAAAAAATTTTAAAATCGACTTGCTACGAATCATTAATCGGTTTCTCACTTTTAAAATTCAAGAAGTTTAATTTTTTAAATTATCAATTCACCCCCTCTTTGTTAGCCTTGGGACATTAATTTAAGTTTAACAATCTAATTAAGATTCAACAAGAATCAACGAAGTGTATTCATGATAAAGATCAAAAAGTGCTTTTATTAGAAGAGAATATTCAAGAAATGTTGATGAGATATTTTTATAAATTCTTCAATAAAGATTTTGAGAATGCGATTGACTTTAGTGACCTTAGCACTCTAAATAAAAATAAAGATTTTTATTTTTATCGGCGTATTAATAAAATCAAAGTTAGAGAGACTTTAAAGAAATTGAAGTGTGGAAAAGCTGTTGGACCGTATGATATTCCAATAGAGGTGTGGAAATTCTTAAGAGATGGAGTTTCTTGGCTTACTAAATTTTTTAATATTATTTTGAAGATTAAAAAGATGCCAGATGAGTGAAGGATGAGTGTGTTGATTCCTATTTTTAAGAATAAAGGTGATGCACAAGATTGTGTGAATTATAGAGGAATTAAGTTAATGTGTCATACTTTAAAACTATGTGAGAGAGTTATGGAGCATAGGTTGAGGCATGATACTATTGTTTCTCAAAATCAATTTGGATTCATGCCGGGTAGGTCTACTATGAAAGCTATACATTTATTGAGAGATTTGATGGAGAAGTATAGAGAGAATGAGGATTTACATATGTTAAAAAAATATGAGGATCGACGTATGATTTTTATTGATTTAGAGAAAGATTATGATAAAGTTCCAAGAGAAGTGCTATGGAGAGTTCTATAAAAGAAATGAGTTAATAATGGTTATATTTAAGTCATTAAGGATATGTATACAGGACTTGTTACTTGTGTTCAAACACGAGGTGGTGTGACCAAGTATTTTCGTATTAAGTTGGATTACATCAAGAGTAATCCTTGAGCCATATCTCTTTGCTTTAATCTTGGATGTTCTTACTAGACATTTGCAAGAGGTTGTACCCTGGTGTATTCTTTATGTTGATGATATTCTTCTTGTTGATACTAGAGAGGGAATTTAAGGTAAAGTTGAATTTTGGAGGTTAACCATAGAGTCTAAAAGCTTTGGTTTAAGTAGATCTAAAACTGAATATATAGAGTGTAATTTTAGTAATAATAGTTCTTGTGAGGGATTGTGACTTTGGGTGATCAAGTTATTAATAAGAGTACACATTTTAGATATCTTGGGTTTATTGTTCAGAATGATGGTGAAATAGATGGGGATATTATTAGTAGAATTCAAGTTGGATGGTTGAAGTGGAGAAATGCATCGGGTTTGTTGTGTGATAGAAAAGTCCCTGAAGTGAAACTACTAGGAGTTAGTTAGAAATTAAAAGAAACGATTAAAGTCTTGCTCCTTACGAATTTAAAGCTAGCACATAAAAGTTGAGTTAGGAATTCGAAAATATTAACTTGCTTAGGCGAAAGAGTTGCAATAAAGATTAACCAAACCTATTCATTCAAAGTTCTAGGAGAATT